ATACTGTAAACTATATATATATATATATATATATATATATATATGCTATTTATTTTTAGATATAAGACTCAATATCAATAATATATCATTGGCCATTAAAAAAAAAATTCTTAGTCAGCCACTAATTTAAACTATATCTCATTTTGCAGCCATTTCAGGATGCATCTTTGACATCCAAGGAGCACTATAAGCTTGCGGTGGAGAAATACAAAGCCCAACTGACTCCTGCACAGACTGCTGCTCTTGCAACAGAAAAACGACAAAAAGTGGCCAAACGAAAAGCAATTAGGAGAAAGAAGGTGAGTTTTGCCTTTCATCATGTAACTACTCTAATAACCCAATAAGAATCTTTACACTGACAAAATATTATTTTATTCCCTTTTACACTATATTTAACCTTGGTTTGTTTTGCAACACTTAGTTTCTGAGTTCTTTAGAAATTAAGTATTTTGATTAACTTTTTAGTAAAGGAATATTGTACTTCAATTGCAGGAGCTGAACAGTCTTGGAAAGCCCAAACGCCCCAGGAGCGTTTTTAACATCTTCATGTCGGAGCACTTTGAGGAAGCAAAAGGAAATAATATACAGGTGAAAATGGACGTATATACAGTTTATACAGTATGCAAAAATTTCTGCATCTAAAATATACAGTGGGAAAATATCTATTTGATCCCCTGCTGATTTTGTAAGTTTGCCCACTTACAAAGAAATGAAGGGTCTGTCATTTTTATGGTAGGTTTATTTTAATGGATAGAGACAGAATATCAACCAAAAAAACAAAAAAAAACACATTATATAAAGGTTAGAAATTGATTTGCATTTCACTGAGTAAAATAAGTATTTGATCCCCTACCAACCAGCAAGAATTCTGGCTCCCACAGATTGGTTATGTGCCCATGTGGAACACAGATTAATCTTGTCACTTTAAGAAGTTACTCCTGATGTCAGCTCGTTAGGTGTATAAGACACCTGTCCACACAATCTGTATCTTCCATTTTATTTGGTAAATGTGTTTCCATCGTAGTTTATGTGCATTTTTTCTTATCGTATAAAAAGTTTATCCTACTCAAAAGTTTTTTATGCGCATTTTTTAGAATTTATGCGCATCTTGGCGTTTCCATCCAGTAGTTTTTTTATGCGATAATCCAAAATGCGCATTTACCAATAGGTGGATGGAAACATAGCTTATGACCCCAAGAACACCATCCCTACAGTCAAGCACGGAGGTGGAAACATTATGCTTTGGGGCTGTTTTTCTGCTAAGCGTAAAGGACGACTTCGCCGCATTGAGGGGCAAATGGACGGGGCCATGTACTGTAAAATCTTGGACGAGAACCTCCTTCCCTCAGCCAGAACACTGAAGATGGCTCATGGATGGGTCTTCCAGCATGACAATGACCCAAAACATACCGCCAAGGCAACAAATGAGTGGCTCAAGAAGCACATTAAGGTCATGGAGTGGCCTAGCCAGTCTTCAGACCTCAATCCTATAGAAAATCTGTGGAGGGAGCTAGAGTTGCCAAACGACAGCCAAGAAACCTTAAGGATTTAGAGAGAATCTGTAAAGAGGAGTGGACCAAAATCCCTCCTGAGATGTGTGCAAACCTGGTGACCAACTACAAAAAACGTCTTACCTCTGTGCTTGCCAACAAGGGTTTCTGCACCAAGTACTAAATCATGTTCTGCTTGGGGATCAAATACTTATTTCACTCACTGAAATGTAAATAAATTTCTAACCTTTATATAATGTGTTTTTTCTGGATTTTTTGGTTGGTATTCTGTCTCTATCCGTTAAAATGAACCTACCATAAAAATTACAGACCCTTCATTTCTTTGTAAGTGGGCAAACGTACAAAATCAGCAGGGGATCAAATATTTTCCCCACTGTAGCTCTAATATAGTTTAAAAGAAAAGAAGTCTCTTATTCTCATCAAGGCTGCATTTATTTGATAAAATATTACAATATTACGAAAATAAAAATTATTGCTGAATAAAACTCTTCATTTCTTAAAAAAAAAAAAATCTTACTGACCCTAAAACTTTAAACTGTAGTGTATTTTGTATAAATAATTTCAATTATTTATTTTTGCATCTGGTGTATTAATATATTTGAAGTTCTCAGTTTAACCAAAGATATTACAGACCATTAAAACCGAAAAATATTTTCATAATATGCATTTTAGGTATTTCATACAATGTCTATTGTTTGCAACAAGTGTGTTGAATGTCATTTTTTCCTTCCAGACAAAGATGAAGTCGCTGAGAGACGACTGGGAGCGTTTCAGTGCAACACAGAAACAAGTGAGTTTTGCCTTGAGCATCAGTAGCTCAAACTATGGCTCTGTTCCATCATCCAGTGAGCTGCCTGCAGTCTTCTAAGGCACCTCATAAACTAGCTAATTTAAAAACACTACATGAGCAGTATCTCTGCGAATCATATAAATAGCACTCACAATTAGGGGTTAAACCAGTGACAACATCGATATTACCAATTACACCTCACATTTTACAAGAAAATGTTTGTTAGCCATGCTCAGGATTGCATCACAGGACTTAACGTTAGGGCTTTACAGCTTTCCCTTTCTTTGAACGAAACAAATGCTTGAAAAATAGTGGTTAAAATTGTTCATTTTTAATTTGGTTTAAAAACAGTTCTTTAAATATATGCTACCATTCAAACGTTCTGTACAATTCGTTTTTTCTTTGGAAAGAAATGAATGCTTTCATTCAGCAGCGATGCATTAAATTGATCAAAAGTGACAGTAAAGACTTTTACAGTGTTGATTTAAAATATTTCTATTAATAAATGCTGTTATCTTGAACATTCTACTCATCAAAAAATATACATTTTCCACAAAAAATAATAAGCAGCAAGTGTTTTCAACATTGATAATAATAAAAAAAAAATGTTTCTTGAGTTTCTGAAGGATCATGTGACACTGAAGACCACAGTAACGATGATGACAATTCAGCTTTACCATCACAGGAACAAATACAATTTTTAAATATATTAAAATAGAAATTGCTGCTTGAAATGTTTTCTGAGATTTCCTTCTCTGTGTAGGATACATGTGTTGCTGCCTTAAATTTTCATTCATAGGCATTTTAGAAAAACTGAAAGCTTACTATGTTTTGAAAGCGATCCTTTATCTGACTTCACTGCTTCATTTTCAGATGTACTTACAGCTGGCAGAGGATGACAAAGTACGGTACAAGAACGAAATAAAATCGTGGGAGGAACACATGATAGAGATTGGAAGGGAAGACCTTGTTCGGAGAAAAGAGAGGAGAGCCATCAAAGCCAAAGCCACTAAAGACAGAAAGAAGAAATCCAAAGTAACAGTGCTAAAGGCAAAAGCGCCAAAAAAGGAGACTGAAACAGCAGTGAAAAAGACTGTGAAGAGCACCAAGAAGTGAGATGTGTTTGACTCTGTTAAGAGTGTGCTGTACAAAGGCCAGTTCCGTCCTCAATAAAAAGCCTGTGCTTTCGGTTAGTAGAGCTGCATTTATATAGTGTTCAAAGCATGAAGGTTTTAAAACTGTGAAAACTTGAGTTCTTCATGAAGTCTCATCTTTTCAGTAAATCTTTTTTTTTCTCGCTGGTTTCATTTACTCACTGTATCATGTAAACCACCGTTTAGGTCCTGACTATGACTGTTTTATTGTGCTATATTGCTTTTAAGCTACTCAAGAATGAAGAATTCTTGAAGTCAAGAACAATTTCTTGACTGGCTATGAAACTAAGACTGACATCAGTTTTCATTTGCTTCTTAGAATGCGTTTGTATATCATGCTTTAAAAAGAGGACGCCATGTTTTGTATAATGTCTTTACTTACAAAATAAACATTAACATTTTTTATAAAAGCAACAGGAGGTATTTACAAAAGAATGCTACACAACTTCATTAAAAATTTCATAAGTGTGCTAAGATTAAAGTTATAGTTCCCCCAATTTGAAAATTAGTCATTTATTTGACCTCACGTTTCAAACCTGTATGACTGACTTTATTCTGTGTAAAATAAATTCAGGTATTTTAAAGAATGTCTAAGCTGCTCTTTTCTATGCAATGCCTCAATCACAAAATGTGCAAATGTACACTGTATGGGGGGAAAGCATCTTGAACATTTTTCAAAATTTCTCTTTTATAGCATAAACGGTGAATAAATGACAATTTTCATTTTAGGTGAACTAACCCTTTAAATACAAATCAAGTGGCCTCAGATTTACGTTGAATATTATCTTATAATGCAGTTGTCAACTCAGGACATGAAACTTCACATTTAAAACTTTTACATTTAAAAGATATTTACATAATAATTTAAAATATTCTTGAGGGATAAAATCAGGACTTGGAAGCCGAGCTGGGGTCAGATGGCAGTTTGGCTTCTTGCAGTAAAGTCTCAAAATCAGGTGAACACACTAGCTTGTGTGTGATGTTTCCGAGCACAGTCATGTCCCCGGTCAGGCCTTCTGACATCTGCACACAAACAAGTTGCTGCAGATACAAAAACAATCATATCCCATGAAACATACTTCATATAAATGAGATCTAGTCCATTAGAAGGATAGTTCACCCAAAAATGAACATTTGCTAGAAGGGGGCCAACACTTTTTCACACCACTGTATATATATATACTGTATATATATAAATAAAATAATTAATAATAATCCACATGACTCCAGTCCATCAATTAACATCTTGTGAAGTAAAAAGCTGTGTTTGTAAGAAACAAATCCATCATTAAGGTGTTTTAACTTTAAATACCAGTCAATAATCCATAATAACGGTTTGAAGTTAAAATAGTCTTGATGGATTTATTACAAATTATTTCACTTCACAAGACGTTAATTGATGGACTGGAGATATGTGGATTATTGTGGTGTTTTTATCAGCTGTTTGGACTCTCATTCTGACGGCACCCATTTACTGCAGAGGATCCATTGGTGAGCAAGTGATGTGATGCTAAATTTCTCCAAATCTGTTCTGACGAAGAAACAAACTCATCAACATCTTGGATGGCCTGAGGGTGAGTAAATTTTCAACCAATTGTAATTTTTGGGTGAACTATTGCTTTAATAAATTAAACAGATCCAGTCGACTTCAACATTAGCTGTGCAAAAATATAAACACCTGAATGCTACCATAAAGCCCAAACCCTACTTTCTTCCATGAAATACAAAATAAATGTTATTACACTGATCAATGGCTTCAAAATCAAACAAATTTATTAGAAAAGTGGTCCATATGACTTCTGTGTTAAATAGTTGTATGACAAATTTTATGATTACTTGAATGGTGCTTTACGGTTAATAGTACTTTAATGGTATTAATGGCCTTTTGGAGATTGACAGGCCCAGCTGTCACCATTTTACTATATGTAAATGAAAAATATTTCAAAAGAATAGCTATCAAATAATGTATGTTATAAACATGCAGAAACTAGATGAAAGCTGAATACAGAAGAATAACACTGTTTACATATTCTCGCATATTACATTGTTTCCACAATTAAAAAAAAAAAATAATAATAATATAACCTGGTCATACAGATATGATTTTATTCTGATGTGTTTTCACAACTGATACTGTTATTTTTAATTTTGCTACATTGCATCTATTAAAAATGACGTGTTAACTCACCTGTAGGAAAGAGAAGGCCGCTCCCTCTGAGACATCTAATGTAACATTTCCCATGACCAGTTGGACTTTACCAGACTTTCTGATTTGCAGTTTTCCAATCAGGCCCTCTGAGAAGTCAGACAGCATAGGTACAGCGGCTTTATCGGGCTGATCCTGAAGAATGATATAAAAACAGCATTAAAATCGTTAAGAGGACACTGAAGATGATATTATAAGTTTACAATTGGATGTGGTTTGCCTTCAAATGCTCATTTAATGAGGAATTTAACTCCTTGATCTTTTGAAATGCGTGCTTTGAAATCATAAATCAAAATTCCGGTGCGAACATACATTAATAAAAAAAGTTTCATAAAAAACAGTGGTTACATTTTATTTTAAGGTGTCCTTGTTACAGTGTAATTATACATTTAAGTACTGAGTAATATTAATTAAAGCTGCAGTCCATAACTTTTTAATGGTTATAAATGATCTGAAATCAGTATTTGAGCAAGTACATAACCAGCCAGTGTTCAAAACTATCGCCTTACTTTAGCCTGTTTCACAACGGTTAGTTTATAATAATGTTTTATAATTCGGGTAGGTTTTCGCGGGAAATTCGAGCATGGCACTGCGTCATTACGTCACGTTTGTAAACATAAAGAAGTTGTCCCGGTTACTAGGCTATCGCATGTGAGGATCCTGCAGGTGGCCGATCGTTTATAGCCTTTTCTCACAGCAGTTGGAATAATTAAATGTATCATTTTGATGGCGGATTGTAATCCAGAAAGGATTATGTTTATGAAACACATGTGAATGAAATTAAATTATATTCCAGTTTTAAATGTGCTTCCGATTACAGAAGATTACAAGATTTATTTTAAAGACAACCAGTTCGAAGGGAGCATAATTTGCTTTTTGGGTTAAAAGAATTTCTTAATATGAAATTCCAGTGGTATGACAATTAGAGATTAGACTAACTGTACAGAAATTGAAATCTACTCGCTTATGCACACTCACGTAATGCTGATGTTGTTAACATTAACAATTTGAGAATAAAATATAACCATAATAATAATTTTGCACGGTTTGTTGTGGAATAAGATAATTTAGATTAAATCACCATTGGTAACGTGATTTATTGTAATGCTTTTTTCCTCAGTTGGTCAGAACAAACGTGGCAGACTTGTTACTTACTTGTTCAGATGGCAATATACGGTGAAAATTCTTATTTGGGTCATATATTCCAAGACGTAGGCTAGAATCTGTGATTGCGAAGTACAGTAAATATCCACACCGGTTCGGTGACTGACTGCCACACATACTCTTCAGAACATCAGATTCATCCGCGCAGGAGCCGTGCCGACTCACAACCCACGCAAGGAAGATAATTCCGCAAACAGCTGCAATTGCAGGTTTTCAAACAGAGATGGCGACAAAGAGGCAAAATTTACGGACTGCAGTTTATGGTTAGGGTTAGGCTTAGGGTTACTTACTTGTAATTATGCATAATTCATTGTTATTACAATAGTAAGTACATGTAACGTGTAACAAAGACACCTTAAAATAAAGTGTTACCAAAACAGTCAAAACTAAAAAATTAAAAAAAGAAGAAGGATTTGGAAAATTATAATGCAAAGTTAAACTTTCACTCTTTGGGTAAAAAGTATCACAATACAGTAAACATATGATATTACCCCTTATTAAGGCACAGTATGAAATCTTACAAGAGCTTTAATTTGGGATGAGCGCTTGTCTTCGGTCTTGCCATCCTTTCTGGTTTTCTCTGGGCTCGAGGTTTTAGGTTGACCAGGTATGGTATCAGGAAGTTGAATAAACAGTAGTTCTTCCTTATCTGAAACAGTCAGCTGTTGAAACAGTTCTCCAAGCGTTGGCTGCTGTGGGCATGCAGGCGTGCCCCTCCCTGGCACAGGGTATGTCTGCTTAGCTCTGGCTGATTTCAGTGCTTTATCAGACGCTGTCTCTTCTTTAACTGCAACAATATCTTGGATTTAGTTCTTTGTTTACTGTAAACGGAACAAAAACTAGCAACAAAACAAGCCACATAACATTATTGTTAGCATAAACGGTAACTTACATGAACTAGCTGCATCTGTTGACAGAAAGTTGCATGCTTGATAGAATGGAAGTCTGATTGGTCTTTGCTTGGGATCATTTTTTAATCCAGGATCATCCAAAAACTGTTCAATTAAACCAGGAAAAATATTAAAATGCTACTGATTATTAACCTTCAAGACTCCATGAAATATGTAAAATAATAAAGGCTCATTGGGGCTTACATCATCTCGTTGGAGTTTTTGTAAAATTTCATCATCATCATCATCCTCAGTATTTTTCTTTTCCTTTTTAATGCATTTTGTGACAAGTGTAGTATCACAGTCACTCAGGGTAGAGCCGCTCCAGTTACCCGCAAGATCAAAAACATGCACACAAAAGTGACTTGATGAAATTGTATTTGATATTTAATATTCATTGTACTGCCATGAGTTAGCAGTGCCAATTTATTTATTTCTATAGCACTTTTCACAATGCACATATCGTCATGCCTTATAGTCGCATTTTGCAGATCAGATTGATGAGCAATAATGTAGTTTACATTTGATATAAACATCAAGCAGTTGAGATTTGCTTTCATTTATATATTGTGTTATGCGAGTATACTGTTTGCAAATAAAGTTGGATATACTAATATATCCAACTTCATATATAGAGTTGTGTGATTAAAAAAAAAAAGTTTACATTTTGTGACAATATAAACAACGAAGCAGTTGCGATTTGCTATATATTACAATATTGCTGCTTTACGAGAGTGTATTGTATGTAGCTAGGCAAAAATGAATATGCTGACAGTAGTTGTAGGTTGGAATTATTATTTGTTATGTGGTGTTATTGAGGATTACATTGAGGATTTATAACGATTTGATGTAGTGACAACAAGCCTAATTGCTACATTGTGATGCATATCACCATCAAGGTTAAATGATGCATATGAATGACAGGGTTAAAACTTCAATCAAAGGAGTTAACTGAAAGTCAATAACTGAGTGCTTTAAAAAATATGCTTTACCTAACTTCCTGTAGGTGTCTGCTGGACCCTGCTCAAAGATGGAGTGAGACTGAATGGTCTGAGGCTTTTCTCGCCGCCGTCTCTCTCTTTGTCTGTCTTCCCTCTCTCTTCTCTCTTTCTTTGGTGCAATGCGAGTCTCCTTCTGTAACCTCCAGAAAACAAGTGATTTATATGGTAAAGCCACATAGTCATATTTTTTTCAGATAATAGCTGAAGATGACGTGAAAATGAGTCTCTGGTATTTAAACTTTAGGAGGAAAAAAGGGTTTGAATGAATTATTAAGTTTCAAATAACTGATTCAAAACTCTAATTCAACTATACAGTGGGTACGGAAAGTATTCAGACCCCCTTAAATTTTTCACTCTTTGTTATATTGCAGCCATTTGCTAAAATCATTTAAGTTAATTTTTTTTCCTCATTAATGTACACACAGCACCCCATATTGACAGAAAAACACAGAATTGTTGACATTTTTGCAGATTAAAAAAGAAAAACTGAAATATCACATGGTCCTAAGTATTCAGACCCTTTGCTCAGTATTTAGTAGAAGCACCCTTTTGATCTAATACAGCCATGAGTCTTTTTGGGAAAGATGCAACAAGTTTTTCACACCTGGATTTGGGGATCCTCTGCCATTCCTCCTTGCAGATCCTCTCCAGTTCTGTCAGGTTGGATGGTAAAAATACTTTCCGTATCCACTGTATGTGTGTATCTTTAATTAAAAATGTTAATGGAATGTGAATATGGCAAGTATGACAAATAAAGTTTATTACGAGGTTTAAAATACTTACTCATCTTTAGTTTTGCGAACAGAGTGAACATTTGGAACAAAGGTTTTCTGTAGGGGGAAAATTATTTCTATTATACTATATTATCTATATCGGACAGCTCTCTTTATAAAATTGGATAAGTATATAAGATGTTATACTGTAAACATTACAGTAAAATATATATTTTCTATAAAGCTGCTTTAAAACAATGTGTATTGTGAATATAACACTGACTTTATTCATATTTTTGTGTTTTAAACAAAGCATTTGATATTGAACCGTTGACATTAGAAGGTGAAACCTTTTTATAGCCACCCAGAGTCAGATCTCTGGAGCGCAGAGAAGTCAGTCTGCCTGGTGGAGGTGGATTCAGTGATATTCGGCCTGGCAGTCCTCGACCCAGAGCATATGATGGTCTGAAAGTGGCAGACGAGCTCGCTTCTGCATCTCCATCTCCATGTTCAGACATCCTGCCAAAACCCAGAAACACTTACTGAAAACAACAACCCCAGTGAGATGCCTTCATAGACATTTGTTTTGGGCATCAAACGTGATTTCTCAGAGTGATACAATGGTAAGAGTTATGGGTGGTATATAAAACAAACGTGCATTCAAACACAAGAGATTGCAATTCAAGAAGCGCGCGCCTCCATTTTGTTAGCAACCTAAGCTATCAAAACAAAGCCTTTAATACCAGTTTATGCCATTGCACCGGCGGATTTGGAAATGCGTGGAATGATGACGGAAATACCGCTGTACTGAATACATACAAGTGAAATTAAAGACGGTACGTACCTGAAATTGGTGTGTACACCTTAAGTCACATCTGTTAAGTTCGTCCAGCTGACAGCTACATCCTTGCAGAAGCATCGTGGGTCACGTGATCCGGATTTACCAAAGAATCACAAGTCACAAAATAAATTATATTATATTATTCTGTACTGTTGTTATTTTATCACATTAATGAATAATATATTTTAATGCATATTGTAAAATATGTTATTAGTCTATATTTATCTCATATGGTCTTATATTGTCATAATTGTCTTACTATTAAACTGTAAACTATTTTATTACTACTATATTACTTATTGTGTTACATATTTAAATATGATTTATATTATATTGCATTGTTTTATACACTGCTATTTTATCACATTAATAAACAATTCATACTTTATATAATAATAATTTATAGCATTTATATTGTAAAAATATGAATATATTTATTTTTATACATTGTAGTCTTATATGGCATCATAATTGTCGTAATATTAAACTGTATGTGTGTTGGAGCAAAACTCTGCAGGGCTCCGGCCCCCCAAGAATAGAGTTTGACACCTCTGTTCTAAGGTGTGCAATTCTTTTCAGGGAAACCCATGGCAAACACACACACACCCACACACGGAAACATACAAGCGCACAGAAACGTAATCAGTAAAATAGTTTAGCTTAACTTAAAAGCTTCGTGACATTTCTCACTAATAACGGCGCTGTTCTTGAAGATGATGAACTTGCGGTTTCGCTATTAGTTGAGACGCTGCTGCTGGACACTACGGTGACAGAGAAGTGCAAAACAAATCACAATTCTGAAAACAAAATAAATTACAAACGCAAATGCAAGTCTAAAAAACAAAATAACAATTTAGAAAGCACAACAACAATTCAGAAAACATTATAACAAGTCAGAAAACACAATGACAAATCCGAAAACAAATTAACAAGTCAGAAAACACCACAGACAAACCGGAAGAGGTAGGTTTAGTTTGAGACAGCGCCATTGGTTTGGGATTACTCACCGCTGACTGGACGAGACATCTGTCAATCAACGTATACAGGGAAGAACCAGCCGAAGAACAGCAGAGTCGTGGTAGAAAGTTCGGAGATGGTATTAAAGTAGCTCAGTTTAAATGTATTGTATGAATTGCCCTTACTATGGAATAAAAAATACGGGGTGTTTATTTACATTTAGTTAAAAGTGACTGTAAGACTCCAGTGGCGCAGATGGATAAGCGCGTATCATTGGCTTTTTGATGCGATGACCCGGGTTCGATCCCGCCTTTTGCCGAACTTTTTTTTCCTCCCTTTTTTTTTATTTTTTATTCCATAGTAAGGGCAGTTCATACAATACATTTAAACTGAGCTACTTTAATACCATCTCCGAACTTTCTACCACGACTCTGCTGTTCTTCGGCTGGTTCTTCC